TAATAAACCAGGATTATGTAACCTGATAATTAACCAGGCTTCCAACTCATATCTTCAATTCATAATGTCAAATACTAACAAAATAAACCATAGCAATAAAATATTTTCAAAATACAATTATGATCCTCTTATTTATAATAATATTTAATAATGAAATCTCAGAACAGGAAAATGAAGGAAATCCAAAGCTCAATACTGAAATGGCTTAGCCAGACTAAGCAATCAGGAAAGAACTAGCCTTTAAATTAGCTATTAAGGAATACGATCACTTATTTAACAAAGTGGATTAAATTATTCACTATAAAAATTTACTGTAAATGATTTTCTTGTGTAAAGCCCTCAAAGTCTTTTAAAAAAAAATTCTTACAGATGAAAGTTATAACTTCCACAATATAATCCCTCTCTTCTTATACTACAATGGGAACAGATGACAACAGATTTTAAAAATCAAATCACACAACTTGTACAATACCCATTCCAAATGATCAAATCTTTGTTACAAATGTCAGAATAAATGTTAGAAGTTGCCTTCGGAACTGTATTTACATTATATGCATGAATCCAAACTTGCAGCCAGTGAAAAAGCACAAATTAAATCCCAATCAAAAAATGGGGTTGCTAGATGACAGTCCATCAACAAGCAAATAGAAACGCATGCTAATTTCAAGCTCCATTAGAAATGCGGTTGGGGGGTATGTTTGTACATGGAGAAGCAAAAGTTTGAGAGTTATGAATAAACTAAAGAAAATAATGAATATTTAGAGGCTCTGATAGAGAAAGGGCAATGTTGAAGTTTTATTTTGAAGCGTGGTTATTTCTCCACATTTTGAACTTCCAATAATGGATAAATTTACTGGGCTGGCCCCATGGCCAAGTGGTTGGGTTTGTGTGCTCCTCTTCTGTAGTCCCGTGTTTCACTGGTTCAGAACCAAGGCGCGGACATGGCACCACTCATTGGGCCATGCTGAGGCGGCGTCCGACATAGCACAAGCAGAAGGACCTACAACTAGAATATACAACTATGTACTGGGGAGCCTTGAGGAGAAGGAGGAAAGAAAAAGAAAAGATTGGCAACAGATGTTAGTTCAGATGCCAATCTTTTAAAAAAAAAAAAAAAAGGATAAATTTACTATAGTGCTCTCGCAAGTGAAAACAGCATGAGACAGGGCAAGTCAAGCCAGACTGTCCACTTCCTCATTCAGACTATCCACTGAATGTTTGGCCCATTCAGCCCAGGCCCACAACATGGAGGGCTGAGCAGACCACCACGCCACACAAGCTACACCCTCAGGGTCTGAAAGCAAGAACACCAGCACCTGGGCAAATTTTAGAAACTGTTGCTCTGTTAGACTCTCCCAGATGCTTTTCTTAAGAGAAAACAGAAAGTACTAATAAGTCTTAAATCCTCCAACATGAACAATATAACCAAAATTTCTTTAAGACTTCTAAGTGTGTGGCTTCACAGTCATTCATGAGGAAAAAATGATTTGGGCTGGGAAAGCAGAAAGAATAATTTATTTCATGTTTTTTACTATTTATTTATCTCCATAGGTCAAAGCTGCAAAAAATATATTTTTTGAATGAATTTCTTTTTTACCTGTTTATTTTCTCACTTTTTGTAGCAGTAAAATTCACTCTGGTGTACTATTCTATGAGTTTTTGATGAACTCAAACAGTTGTACAATCACCTCCACAATTAAGATATAGAAAAGTTAAACGAATTTGTTTTATTTTCAGAACAGCATGTACCTAACAACGAAACCACAGAATAAAAACGTACAAAATATTATTAGCTTTACGAGCTAATCTGGCATCAACTTACTATAAAGCTACAATAATCAAAACAGTGCGGTACTGGCATAAAGACAAAAATACAGACCAAAAGAATAGAATCAGAGAGTCCAGAAACAAACCCTCTCATTGTCAAATGATTTTTGACAAGGGTGTCAAGACCATTCGATAAGGAAAGGATAATTAGTTTTTAACAAATAATGCTGAGAAAACTGGATATCCACATGTAAAAGAATGAAGTTGGATCCTAACCTAATACCATTTACAAACATTAACTCGAAATGGATCAAAGACCTAAATATAAGAGCTAAAACTATAAAACTCTTAGAACAAACACAGGGCAAAAGTTTCACAATTTTTCACAAAGTTTGACAATGAATTCGGCAATGTCTTCTTGGATATGACACCAAAAGCACAGGTAACAATAACAAAAGAAAAAATAGATAAATTGGACTCCATCAAAATAAAAACTTACGTGTATCAAAAGACATTATCAACAGTGAAAAGGCAACCAGAAAGCAGAAGAAAATATTTGAGAAATCACATACATGATAAGGGATTAAAGTCCAGATTATACAGAAACTCCTAAAACTCAACAACAACAACAAAATAACCTGATGATGTGCAAAGGATTTGAACAGACATTTCTCCAGAGATACATGAATAGCCAATAAACATGAGAAGATACTCAACATCACTAATGATTAGGGAAAAGCAAATCAAAACTACAATGAGATACCACCTCACATTCATTAGTATGGCTACTACCAAAAAGACAGAAAATAACAAGTGTTGGTAAGGATGTGGTCAAATTAGAAGCCTGTGCACTGCCGGTAGGAATGTAAAATGGTACAGTCACTGTGGAAAACAGTATAGGAGTTCCTCAAAAATAAAAATAAATTTACCATATAATCCAGCAATTCCGCTCCTGGGTATACACATGCAAAAAAAGTGAAGCAGGGTCTTGAAGAGATATTTGTACATCCATGTTCATATCAGCATTACTCACAGTAGCTAAAATGTGGAAGCAAATGAATGGATAAGAAACTATGGTGTGTATATACATATATATGTACAATAAAATATTACTCATCCTTAAAAAGGAAGGAAATTCTGGGGCCGACCCTGCGGCCGAGTGGTTAAGTTCGTGCGCTCCGCTTCAGCAGCCCAGGGTTTTGCCGGTTCAGATCCTGGGCGCGGACATGGCACCGCTCATTAGGCCATGCTGAGGCAGCATCCCACATGCCACAACTAGAAGGACCCACAACTAAAAATATACCACTATGTACTGGGGGGATTTGGGAGAAAAAAGGAAAATAAAATCTTAGAAAAATAAAAAAAGGAAGGAAATTCTGACATACGCTACATCACGGATGAACCTTGAGGACATTATGCTAAGTAAAATAAGCCAGCCACAAAGAGACAAATACTGTATGATTCCACTTCTATGAGTCACCTAGAGTAGTCAAATTCATAGAAACAGAAAGCAGGAGGGTGAGAGCCACAGGCTGAGGGAGGGGAAGAACGGGGAGTAGTTGTTTAATGGGTATAGTTTTAATTCTGCAAGATGAAGACTTCTGGAGATGGATGTTGGTGATGGTTGCACAATATGAAAGTACTTAATACCACCGAACTGTGCAGTTAAAAACGGTTAAGATGGTAAATTTTATGTTATGTGCATTTTACGACAACAAAAAAAATTAAGAAAAACAAAAGGAAGGCAATTTTGACACATGCTACAACACAGATAAACCTTGAGGAGATTATGCTAAGTGAAATAAACTAGACACAAAAGGACAAATATATGATTCCACTCATATGTGGTACCTACAATAGGCAAATTCATAGAAAAAGAAAGTAGAATAGAGGTTACCAGGGACCGAGGAGAGGGGAGGATGGGGAGTTATTGTTTAATGAGTAGAAAGTTCAGGTTTAGGATGACGAAAAAATTCTGAAAATGGAGAGTGATGATGGCTTCACAACACTGTAAATGTACTTAATGAGGGGCCAGCCCCATGGTTAAGTTCGCATGCTCTGCTTCAGCGGCCCAGGATTTCGCCAGTTCAAATCCTGGGCACAGACATGGCACCGCTCATCAAGCCATGCTGAAGTGGTGTCCCACACAGCACAACTAGAAGGACCTACAACTAAAAATACACAACTATGTACCAGGGGACTTTGGGAGAAAAAGGAAAAATTTAAAAATCTAAAATAAAAAAAATTGCTACATTAGCATTGTGTGATTAATCATTATTTCATCGATTCTAAAGCATACATAGTTCACATTTTTAAGTTTCTAAAATCTAGATGTGTCTTACAATTGATGGCATTTCCTAGTTTATTTGGCAGTGTTTCTTTTTTTTTAGGGGTACATAAAATAAAGGTTAATCTTTAGATAAAGGAGGACATGCTCAAATTATGATAAGTGGACAGATTACAAAAGAGCACATAAAGTAAAATCTAGTTTTTATAAAGTTATATATAGTTAATATACATGCACAGAAAAACTATTAGAGGATATACACCAAAATTTTAAGTGTTTATCTCTAGGTGATATAAATATGAGTGAGTTTTACTTTAAAAAACTTTAATAAACTGGATGTAAAGCTCCCCCTCTTCCCCCCATCAACCAGCACCATCCTATATAGAGCACAAATATATCTACCATAACTAATTCAGTATTTTTTGAATAGTATCTGCTATGGGTTTAGAAATGAGTCAGGTATCATAGGAGACAGAAAGATACAAAAGAATGTAACTGCCTTGAAGGAGCTTAGCATCTAGTAAAAGAATTTATGGTCCAGAAGAGTCTTAAGGAAGGTAAATCAGCAACTTAATGCTATCTAAATACTGAACTAATTCACTGCTTTTACTCACTTAACATGAATTAAAAACATGTCCTGTCCAGCGTTCCAAAACTGAAAAGATAAATTAACATTTTATCACATTAGAAGTTAAAATAAATATCCTTTATAAATCATCTTATTCATTACAAATGACAAAGTTCAAACTCTAACCTCTTGAATTGAGACTCCTAAGATAAAAAGCTCCTAAAAGCATGTCATCATCATAATTCATCAGATAATAGACATATAATCAATGACAAATTAGCAATAGCAGGAAACATCCAACCACATAATTATTGTTTACTATAACCTCTTAAGAACTGTACTTTTTCAAAATTCTTTCTCTAAGTTTTTCTTGCTCACCATGTGCTCACTGTGCTGAAGGGTAAAGTGGCTACAGTGGTAACTTGGTTCCTGCCCTCAAGGTATCTCCAGTTCAGCTGAGGGGGAAAAAAAAACAGGGGAAAAGCTCTAGGACACTCGATTTGGCAATGATTTTTTAGTTATTTATTTATTTTTTCTTAAAGATTAGCACCTGAGCTAACAACTGTTGCCAATCCTTTTTTTTTTTTCCTTTCTGCTTTTTCTCCCCAAATCCCCCCAGTACATAGCTGTATATTTCAGCTGTGGGTCCTTCTAGTTGTGGCATGTGAGACGCAGCCTCAACCTGGCCTGATGAGCGGTGCCACGTCCACGCCCAGGATCCCAACCAGCCAGGGCCGCCGTAGCAAAGCACACAAACTTAACCACTCGGCCACGGGGGCTGGCCCGGCAATGATTTTTTAGATATGACACCAAAAGCACGGGCAACAAAAGAAAACACAGATAAACTGGACTTGACCAAAATTAAAAACTTCTGTGGGGCCGGCCGACCCCAATGAAATAGCACAATGAAATACCACCTCACATCCATTAGGATGCCTATTATAAAAAAACAAAAGGCCAGAAAATAACAAGCGTTGGTGAGGATCTGGAGAAACTGGAAGCCTTATACATTGCTGGTAAGAATGTAAAACAACACAGCTACTGTGGAAAACAGTATGGCCATTCTTCAAAAATTTAAGCATAGGGGCCAGCCAAGTGGTTAAGTTCACACACTCCGCTTTGGAGGCCCAGGGTTTCGCCAGTTTGGATCCTGGGCGAGGACAGGGCACTGCTCATCAAGCCACGCTGAGGAGGCATCCACATGCCACAACTAGAAGGACACACAACTATGTGCCAGGGGGCTTTGGGGGGACAAAGGAAAGAAAAAAACAATTTAAGCATAGAATTACCATATGGCCTGGAAATTCCACTTCTGGGTATATACCCAAAAGAACTGAAAGCAGGGACGTAAACACATATTTGTACACCCATGTTCACAGCAGCATTATTCACAATAGCCAAAAAGTAGAAGCAACCCCAGTGTCCAACAACAGATGCATGGATAACAGAATACTATTTGGCCTTAAAAAGGAAGGAAATTCTGACATGTTACAACACAAGTGAACCCTGAAGACATTATGCTAAGTAAAATAAGCCAGTCACAAAAGAACAAATACTGCATGATTCCACTTATATGAGGTACCTATAGTAATAAATTCAAAGAGACAAAAACTCTAACAGTGGTTGCCAGAGGACTGGAGGGAGGGGAAGTGGAGAGTTATTGTTTAATGAATATGGATTTCCAGTTTGGGAAAATGAAAAAAGTTTTGAATATGGACAGTGAGTGATGGCTGCACAACAATGTGAACGTACTTAATGCCACTCAAGTGTACACATAAAAATGGCAAATTTGGGGGCCAGCCTGGCAACATAGTGGTTAAGTTCGCACACTCCACTTCAGCAGCCCAGGGTTCACGGGTTTGGATCCCTGGCACAGACCTACACTCTGCTCATCAAGTCATGCTGTGGCAGCATCCCACATACAAAATAGAGGAAGACTGCCACAGACGTTAGGTCAGGGACAATCTCCCTCACCAAAAAAAAGGTAAATTTTGTTATGTACATTTTACCACACACACACAAAGAAACAGGATAGTGAGTGAGAATGTCATAACCAGGTACAAATTTTAGAATTTCAGACAAATTAAACATCACTTTCAGCAATGATGATCAATGTATCAATGGAAAATGCATGCTAATCAGCCTTCACTGATGGAAAGTATTTGTGTCAGAGAAGTACAAATGCCTGGCAGATGCAGAAGACCTGTGGCAACAATTTACAGTAAAAATTAAAGCTGAAAAAGGAAGTTAGGGCAAGAAGTTAGAAGGCCTTGACTGCCAATCTAAGAGTCTGACCAGTGCAGGAACAAGACAGCAATTTCTCAAATGAGAGTGAGTATTGCTTATATGTAAAAGACTGAATGCTGGAGAGGAAGATAGGAAGAAATTCAACTAACTTTGGCAAACACTTACGGAGCAACCATAATGTTCCAGATTCTCAGACTAAAAACTGAAGGGAGGGGCCGGCCCTGTGGCTGAGTGGTTAAGTTTGCGTGCTCTGCTTCGGCAGCCCAGAGTTTTGCCAGTTCAGATCCTGGGCGCAGACATGGTATCACTCATCAGGCCATGCTGAGGCAGCGTTCCACATAGCACAACAGAGGCACTCACAACTAGAATGTACAACTATGTACTGCGGGTCTTTGGGGAGAAGAACTAAAAAAAAAAAAAAAAGGATTGGCAACAGTTGTTAGCTCAGGTGCCAATCTTAAAAAAAACTGAAGGGAGCAGAGGGGCGGGTAGTGGCTGCAAAGGGACAAAATGGGATTCCTGGAGTACTGATTATTTTCTGTTTCTTGATCTGGATGGTGAATATGGGTGGTGTCCACTCAAATAATTCATTAAGCAGATATTCTTATGATTTGAGCACTTTTCTAAATGTACATTATACTTTAATTTTTAAAAATTTTATTAAAAATAAAGACCTAGACAACATTTCTCAGAAACCCTAGCTGGGAGGAAGTCATCCATAAAATTATTTACCAAATAATATGAAAGATGCAACCACAGAATATGTACAAGGCACTCAAGGAGTACTGAGACCCAAGAGAAAACCCAGAGGCAGTGACTCCTAAGGTGGGTTTTAAAGAATAAATGAGTTTGTCAGATGGATGAGAAAAAGAAGGCTGCTACAGGCAAAGGAAAAAATATGAAAAAGGCACCAAAGCAAACAATAGGACAATTTATGCAGAGAACTACAAGTAGTTTCAACAGTTCAAAGATAAAAAGATAATCTAAACTAGGGAAGCAGAACCAAAAAAAAGGAATTTATGTAAGATGAAGACCAGATGGAGAGGATTTCACCTCTGATTAGAACTTAGTGGAAAGGAGAAAGAATGGAATGGAGATGGTTCTGAACTTGGCGAAAACAGCAATTTGGTACTGGGAGCCCTCCATAATCTGCCGTTTCATCTGTCGTAGTTCCATCCACAAGCTAGACTCCAAACAGATAAGACTTTTTCCTCCTTCATTCAACAAGCATCTAATTTGCCCTCCAGGCCAGGTACCATGAAAGGCTAAAGCTACCAGTCCCTAACTTTAAGGAGCTCACAGGCTCACTTTCTAGCAGGACAGGAAAACAAGGACATCAATAATAAGGTACAATACAACGGAGTATACTACCTGGTGAGAAGATGTTTGCTATCAGAAAGGAAAGTGCTAACTTGAGTCTTGAGACATGACTTAAAGCCCCTCATGAAAGGGATGACATACAAATGGGGGGAGGGCATGGGGGGAGCAGTGTGCATCACTAAGGAAACAACAATTACAAATAAGCCTAGGACCCTACATCCAACCCATAATTAAGGCCTGTTCTCATTTCTCCAAATTACAGATCTCTTCATCCCTACTACCTTCACTCCCACCATCTTCCTAGCTCAACTCCCTCTTTCCACTTGTATACAAGCCTTACAAGCACTAAAAGGAGTGATCTGCTTAAAAAGGAAATCAGATCATGAAACTCCCTACAATGGCTTCTTACAGCTCTAGGAATAAAATCCAAACATGTGACCTGGCATTCCCTGGCAATCTCATGTGAGGCCTTCTCCTCGGCCCAAAAGCATTCAAGCTATACAAGTCTTCTCCTAGGTCTCTAAACACATGGAGTTCTTTCCTGCTCAGGACCTTTACAGAAGCAGAGGACCCTGTTCCCTCATCCAGAACTCCACTAGCAGACACACCATCACCCTCAAAACCAGGTCTGTCTGTCATCTCTCACAATATTGTTACTTTCTCAAAGAAATTCCAGGACTCTACCAGTTACTGATCTCCACATCTGGTTCAGGTCTCCAGAAGAAAAAGGCATCTCATTTTGAGACGCATGTTGAGTCTGAGAAGCCCCTGGGACACCCAAGCAGCTCTCTGGTGCACAGGTGACCATTTGGGTCAGGTGAGACACCTGCACTCAAAATAGAAGCTTGGACTTTAGCACATAAGTTTGATGGCAGGGAGACTGCACAGAGAAGTGACTCTCAACTTGAAGGGAGAGGGCAGCCCTGATCTCTAAGTCATGGTATGGAACGAGATGTCACTGATGGGAGTGAGGGTGATGCCACATCAATGGTCTGAAGGACTGAGATATGTTGGGTAGAATCTTGGGTAGGAGTGGACTGAAATAAAAAAGACCGAGAAGAAAGAGCCAAAACCAGGAGAGAGTTATACCACAATTCCACAAACTCCTTTGCCCTTTTATGCTTCCTCCCTTGACAAAATTCTACTCATGTTTCATCCAGTTCAAACGCCACCCACTCCTGGCTTTATCCAAACAAAACTTATCAGCCCCCTCTCCATGCTTCCACAAGTTTCTCTTATTGTTAGTATTCTATCAGATTTGACCCAGGCACAAGTTTTTTACCAGTACTATTACAGCACGTATCACAGTCTGCCTTGCACTACACCTGGGGTTGTGCCTTCCCTATTAGACCTTGAGTTCTTGGGAGCAGAGATCCTATCTTAATCATCTGTGAGCCTTTAAAAAAGGTGGATGTGATGAGGATTTTAGGCTGGTTATTTTTAAAACTACAGATGAGAAGCAGGCTCCAAGGACTGGAATTTTGCTTGCCCTTTTGAGAGACATTTGCACTTGTGAAGGAAGGGGGGATGACCTTGTAGGGACCCGAAATTGGCCACCCCAGGATATGTCTCTTTGGCATCAGGATTGTTTTGGGCTGATTGCTTTCGATAAACTGGGACAGGGAAGGAGGCTCTGGGGAATGGAACTTGCCCTTGTTGGGACACATTTACATTTGTAAGGTAAATCTCTATCTGTAAAAGGTGCCTCCCTCTCTGTACCAGGAAGAAGAGGAGAGATGACCTTATCCCTAGAAACTCTTAATGGGGAAGGCAAGAACTTAAGTTGGTTGCTGTCTGGCAATCTCATGTAACTGGTTTAGGGTGGTGGCGTCTAACCTTTCTAACCTTTACTTAATCCGATTTGATTCTTGTCTAAAAGTCATGGGATCACCCAATGACCAGACCCCACCTGCACTGATACCATTTTAACTTTTTTTCATGTTCTTTCCTTTGTCTTGTAAAGAGATGAATCATATACCTATGCCTTAAATTTAGCCCTAACCCTCAGCTCGGGGCAGCAGCAGGAGCTCTGACTGACCGTGGGTCTTGTCCCCATGCCAGCGGGGGCAGCAGCAGCGCCTCTGACTGCCCGTGGGTCCTGTCCCCACGCACCAGCTCTGCCTGCCCATGGGTCCTGTCCCCATGCCAGCGGGGGCAGCAGCAGCGGCTCTGCCTGCCCATGGGCCCTGTCCCCCTGCCAGCGGGGGCAGCAGAAGCAGCAGCAGCAGAAACTCTGACTGCCCATGGGTCCTGTCCCCATGCTATTCTACTCTCTAAATAAAAGAGCACTACTGCCAGATCTTAAGAGTCTAAGAAATCTTTCTTTCGACTCCTCGGCTCACCGACCCCGCATCAGATGAAAAATTATTTTTTGGGCTGGCGCGGTGGCACAGCGGTTAAGTCGACACGTTCCGATTCGGTGGCCCGGGGCTCACCGGTTCAGATCCCGGGTGTGGACTTGGCACCGCTTGGCACGCCATGCTGTGGTAGGCGTCCCACATATAAAGTAGAGGAAGATGGGCAAGTAGAGGAAGTTAGCTCAGGGCCAGTCTTCCTCAGCAAAAACAGGAGGATTGGTAGCAGATGTTAGCTCAGGGCTAATCTTCCTCAAAAAAAGAAAAAAGAAAAATTATTTTTTTAACTTAATAGAAGTCAAGAAGAGGAGAGGCTTTGGATAATTTCTCCATTTGTTCCTCTTGTAAGACAAAATAACATCCTAATTAACTTGATTTACAAATTCATATTTTCTTAAAGAAACATACTCCTGTAGGTCTTTAAAAATCACTGCTAAACAAAATACCTTCTTATCTAAACGCCTATCCTGTTGCAACAATACAACGATGTAATCATTTCCTTCAACATAAATGTGAAACGCCCTTAGAGACTTAACTACATCTTACTCTTTTCTAAATTATTGTAAATTCTGTACAAAACAAACACCAAAAAACGTTACAAAGACGCAAGAGGACCTAAGAGGGTGTCAATCCTGGATGTGAGCCAACTGCCGCCTGCATTATTGGGAAGCCATTCCGGCCAAGCCAAGGTTAGGCATTCAGTCAACAGTTTTTCCAAGTGCTTCACACACACACATACTCCTTTAAAAGTGAACAAAAAAGACCCTAATGCCACTCGTGAAAACCAGGACTAATCAGAGTTAAGACTGTCCGATTAACCAGCAAGAGAAGTCTGAGTAATTGCACAACAAAGGTTAACACGGTACACGCCGAAAGTCCACACGGGCGTGGCGCACCGCCCCAACCAGCCCGTGTCAAAGAAAGGGAGCACTGCAACTTTCGCATTCGCTCGGCCGGGAATGCGGGCGTGCGGCCTCGGCAAACGTCCGGTCCACCAGACCGGGAAGTTTCGGGGGCGGGGAGCGGGCGCCACCACAGAAACCACCATCACTTCCCTGGAAAACTCCAGTCCCGGACCCTCGCGCACCGAGAACTGCGCGCAGACTCTTCCCCACAGGGAAGGCGGCCGAGGGGGCCCAGCACGGGCCTGGCGCGCGCCCCGAGTCCGCTCGAACAAAGTTTAGAAACCGGGAGAAACTTTCCCGAGAGGAAGCGCGGCGGCGCCGCCGGGCCTGCAGCTCGCTCTGCCCCAGCCGCTGCGGCCCCTCAACTTCCCGAGCGCCAGGAAGCTCCGACCCCGCCGGCCCGCCCGGCCAGGGCCCAGGCCCGAGCCCCCGCAGGGGAAGCGGGCCGGACGCCCCACCCGCGCCCCCGAGAGCCCGACTCCCGGCGGGGCTGCGGAGGAGACGGCGCCCCGCCCGCCCGCGGGGCCCGGCCTGGGGCGGCCAGGCTGAGGAGCCCTCCGGGAGCCCACGTCCGCGCGGAGAGAGTTACCTGCGGCGAGCGGGGCGAGCGCAGAAGGATTCCGAGGCCCGAAGCCGACGGCCGCCGCTTTGTCTCCGTGCTGTCCGGCTCGGAGGAGGAAATGGGCCGCCCGTCGCCCCCGCCCCCGGCCCGCCCCCGCCCGCGGCCCCCGCCCCCCGCCCGGCGGCCCCGGCCCCGCCCGCCCTTCCCGGCACCTCCCTCCGGTGCGCTCTTCCCGGCGCCTCCCGCTGCCGCCGCCCTGCTTTCCCAGCCCTCGCTTTGGGGGCAAGCCCCCGACCGAAAGGGCCTGGCGACGCCGGACCGGGACCCTCAACAGGACCTCTTACTCTCCGTCATTCACCCCAGAGTTGCTTCATCCCAGGCCCCTAATGGGCGCTCAGGCCGGAGTGACCCACCCCCCGCAACCCCCAACCAGAGGAAGGAGGAGCGGTGACTCCCGGAACAGCCTGCGAGCGGGGGAAGGCAGGTGAGTCACCGCTCCGCGCACAGGTGAGTCTCCGGGCGCGGCCGGCGCAGGTCCCACCCCCGGCTGGTGCCCCAGGGACCGGGCGCGGCGACGCAGAATCCTGGGCACTCTCTTCTGAGGAGTGCCACAGGTGTTCCCTAGTCACAGGCTTCCAGAAAAGTGCTCTAGACCCACTCCCTGGTTTTACAGAGGGAGAAACTGAGGCTCACTGCTTCAGGCAAAGTGGAACTAGAATCGGACTCTACAGACCTCATAGTGTAGGTGGAAGCCCTCCTAGAAATCACCTAAGCTGTCCCCTTACTTGACAGATGAGGAAACCCAGAGCCCTCGTGGTGGAGGACAAGGGGCATGCCACAGCAGTGTCCCCTCCTGAGATTGCCCCTCCTACTCAAACACACATTTGGAGGACCTGGCTCTATCCCTATCCCTCTGGCCATTTAGGGAATTTTATTTGCACTCTTCCTTATCTTCCTGGTGAGTGCTCCAAAACAAAACAAAACAAAACAAAACAACAAACGAACGAAACGTACTACATATTCACTATCAGCCTGGTATAGAAAACCCTAATGGTGTCTTTCCTCCTTCATTATGGGATGATGAACAAGGTTGATTTCAGTATTGGCCTATAAATCCAAAATAATGTAAGACAACAATATCCTGCTGGCTTGGTGCTGAGCACTAAGCAGGGTGCTAGGGAGACCTGCCCTCAACATGTTTCTATTTACTACTGACATCTCCCCATTCCCCAGGAACTGCAAACTCCTGGATGACAGGAGTTGGATCCCCTACAGCACTCAGCACAATGCTCATCCCCTAGTTAACATCTGTGGGTGAAGGTGCCCGCTGTAATTCAAATAATTCAAAGCACTATGGGGGGGGGGGGGGGGGGGGGGGGCGGGTGGCAACACGCCGGCCCCTTGGCAGAGTGGTTAAGTTCCTGTGCTCTGGTTCGTCAGCCCACGGTTTCCCCGGTTCGGATCCTGGGTGCAGACATGGCACCACTCATCAGGCCATGCTTGAGGTGGCATCCCACATGCCACAACTAGGACACACAACTAAAAATATACAGCTGTGTACCAGGGTGCTTTGGGGAAAAAAAGGAAAAATAAAATTTGTGCTAGTGAAGAGATGCTGACAAAGGGCAATAGGACCATGAAGGGAGAGAACAACCTTCAACAGAAAGACAAACCTTGAAAAGGCCATTCTCGGGCGGCCCAGTGGCCAAGTGGTTAAGTTCCCACGCTCTCCTTCAGCGGCCCCGGGTTTCACCGGTTTGGATCCTGGGCATGGACATGGCAGGGCTCATCGGGCCATACTGAGGTGCCCACATAGCAGAGTCAGGAGGACCTGCAACTAGAATATACAACTACGTACTGGGGGGCTTTGGGGAGAAGAAGAAGAAAAAAAAAGATTTGCAATAGATGTTAGCTCAGGTGCCAGTCTTTAAAAAAAAAAAGGCCATTCTTGTCCAACTACACCCCAATTCTGTTACTAGCTTCAGAGTCTTTGCTCTTATGTTCTCCCCTGCTAGGAGTGGCCATGGCTTCCTCTCATTACATTTGGCTACGTCAGAACTTAGTAATCAATCAATAAATATTTGTTTGAACTTACAGGGGACAAAATTAAAGAATTATGCTCCACAACTTTGTATGTACATCATTTCATTCAGGACCAGCTACTTAATTTGCAAGGCCCCATGTTCAAAAATTATTAATAATTTCAAGACAGCATCAGTGGAGCATTAAACCAAGCATTAGGCCTTTCTAAGCATGGGGCGGGGCCCTGCTATCGATTGACTGTTTGTATCCCCCAAAATTCAGATGTTGAAAACCTAATGGCCAAGGTAATGGTATTAGGAGATGGGGGAGCTGTGGGGAGGTGATTAGGTCCTGAGGTCAGAGCCCTCATGAATGAGATTAGTGCCCTTAAAAAAGAGGCTGCAGAGAGATCCTTTGCCCCTTCTGCCATGTGAGGACACAGCAAGAAGGTTCTGACTATGAACCAGGAAGAGAGCTCTCACCAGAACATGACCATGCTGGCGCCTTGATCTTGGACTTTCCAGCCTCCAGAACTGTGAGAAATAAATTTCTGTTGTTTGTAAACTAACCAGCCTGTGATAGTGTGTTTTAGCAGCCCGAATGGACTAAGATTAACAATAAAAGTGCAAGGCTTGTTTTGGGAAAAGAAAGGTCAGATGACCGAAAGAATATGATGAGAGATTTGCAGTGTGCCCTGTAAGCTAAGGGGAGTCAGTTCCCTATCTCTGAGAAACCTTGAAAAGCTTACTAGGGAAGATGAGCATTCACTATGTCCCAGGCACATGCTATGTGTCGGGGGAGCAGCAGTGAACAAAACTGACTTGATCTCTTGTTCTCATACAACTTAAAATGTAATGGAAGAGAGGTATTAAGATAGGTAAACTTGGGGCCAGCCCGGTGGCACAGCGGTTAAGTTCTCATGTTCTGCTTCTCGGTGGCCTGAGGTTCACCAGTTCAGATCCCGGGTGCAGACATGGCACCACTTGGCACGCCATACTGTGGTAAGCGTCCCACATAGAAAGTAGAGGAAGATGGGCACAGCTGTTAGCTCAGGGCCAGGCTTCCTCAGCAAAAAGAGGAGGACTGGCAGTAGTTAGCTCAGGGCTAATCTTCCTCAAAAAAAAAAAAAACCACAGGTAAACTATTAAAAAGAAGGTCAAGTGTGAAGATAGGGGAGAGATACAAGTAGATTTCGGGGGAAATTAACCTAGTCTGGGGTTCAGTGACCGGAGGAAGTGGCCTTTATGCTGTGACCACTCCAGTCAGACTTTAGTGCTCGCTCCCCACCAAAACTGCCTCTATCAGGGTCCCTGATGACCTCCATGATGCCAAATCCAGTCGTCAGTCTCCGTCCACAGTTGAGTTGTACCATCAGCAGCAGATTACTCTCCTCCTTGAAACATTGTCTTCATTGGGCCTCCAAGGCACCAGGCTCTTCTGATTTTCCTCCAGTCAACGTGGCTGCAACTTCTTAGTCTCCTTTGATGATTCCTTCTAAATCATCCCAGTTTCTAAATGTTAGAACAACAGTTCTCAAAGGGCAATCTGAGGACTCTGGAGACTTTTTCAGGGAGTAATAAGGTTAAAACTATTTTCAGAATATTACTAAAATATCACTTGCCTTTTTGACTCAAAATTCTATCATCGTGTACAGTAGTGTTCCACAGACTGCATGATGTATGATATGGCATCACATGGAATGCAGAAGCAGATCTTAGAATCCAGCTACCTTTTATTAAGCCAGATATTAAAGAGATTTGCAGAAATGGGAAACAATGACACTTCTCCCTGAATTTTGTTTTAGAAAACATTACTTTTCTTTAAAAAATGTTATTTATGATAACATGTAATAGTACAGTAAACATTGGTAGATGAAACACGTAAACAAAAGTTCTTTGTGATCCTCAAAAATTTTTTAAGAATGAAGAAGGATCTTAAGATCAAAAAGTTTAAGAACTGCTGTTAGAGGGGCTGGCCCCATGGCCAAGTGGTTAAGTTCACGCTCCGCTTCGGCGGTACAGGCTTTCACCGGTTGGAATCCTGGGCGCAGACATGGCACTGCTCATCAAGCCAGGCTGAGGCAGCATCCCACATGCCACAACTAGAAGGACCCACAACTAAAAATATACAACTATGTACCTGGGGGGCTTTGGGAGAAAAAGGAAAAATAAAATCTTAAAAAAAAAAGAACTGCTGTTCGAGTGTCCCAGGGCTCCATCCTTGGACCTCCTTTTCCATCTGCCATCAACCCACTGGTGATCTCATCCAGTCTTTTAGTTTCCATATGCTGACAACTCCAGTTTATATCTCAACCTGAACCTTTCCCCTGAATTCTAAACTCCCATCGCCAGCTCCCTGCTTGATACCACCGTTTGGATATCCAGTAGGTATCTAGGCATCTCACACTTTATATGTCTATACATCCAAACTGATTTCCTGAAACCTCTGTCCAAACCTGCTGATCCTACACTTTTCTTCATTTCATTAAGTGACAACTCCATTCTTCTGAGTTGTTTAGGCCCAAACCTTTGGAGTCATCCTTGACTATATTCTTTTTCTCGCATGTTTCATATCTGATATTTCAGCAAATCCTGTGCTTCTACCTTCAAAATAGATTCAGAGTCCACCAACTTTTTACCATCTCCACTGTTGCCATCTTGAGTCAAGCCATCATCCTCACTTAGCTTGAATTTCACAGGAGCCTCATAACTGGTCTCCCTGCTTCTGCCCTCGTCTGCCTCAGTTTAGTCCCAATTCAGCAGCTGGAGTGCTGTGAAAATATAAGTCCAAATATGTCTCTCCTCTCCTGCCCAAAAGCTCCGATGGCTCCTATCTCACTCCTAGTAAAAGGCAAGGTCCTTATAAGGGCCTCCAGAGCTCATCTGCCCCCACACACTCGGACACACTGGCCTCCTTACTATTCCTGGAACTCAGCAGGCAGGCTCTCGCCTCAGGGCCTTTGCTTTCTGTCTCTAATGCTCTCCTCCAAAAGCTGCCTGACTCACTCCCTCACCTCCCCCAGGTCTTTGCGCTCAGGGGTCACTTTCTTAGTGAGACTTCCTCTTGGCCACCTTATCTAAAATTGCAGCCCCTTCCCTCAATATCCCATCCCTCCTTCCTTGCTTTATTTTTCTCCTTAGGGTGTATCACCATCTGACATATAAAGTTGTATATTTATATTTATATATTTTTTTAACTTATTGTTTTCTCCTGTCTTCCTCTTACTAGAATTTAAGCCTTCAATTTTTGTCTGTTTTGTTCAGTGCTATGTCCCTATCACGCCTGGCACATAGCAGGTCCCTCAGTAAATATGTGTTAAATGAATGAAAGCATGAATAAATGGGATCTAGAAAATACACTGACAAGGTGAATTGGGAGGGAAGGAAAAAGTTTGATTCTAGACCAACAGACGAGCAAGTTTGAAGGCCCTGCGTCCCATTCCAGGAAAAGAAGTTCTGTGATTTTGGGAGCTGGTGAGGTAGGCAGGGGCCAGACTGGAGAGGGCTTTGTAAGGCCTTAGACTTTATTGTGAGGGGAATGGGGCGCCATAAAGGATTTTAAACAAAGAGAGAACGTGATCATATTTTGTTTTTAAAACATTCACTTTGGAAAAAAGCAGATTGTAAAGCAATACACATAATACCTCATTTATGTTTGAACAATGTATACATATTTGTTTTAATGCTCTTTTCTCATAACAGCTGAGCCATTTAAAACGTATCATCTGTTCAAAATCCTCCAGTTCTTCCCATCTCACTCTGAATAAAATCTACATGATCTTGCCTAGCAACTTTAGACCCATCTTCAACTTTTTCCTCTCCATCTTTCCACTCCAGCCCATGCTGGGGTCCTAGACATTCCTGTAACACATCAACCACTTTCCTGTCTCAGGACATTTGCATTTCTAGTTCCCTCTCCTTGGAATGATCTTCCTCTAGACAGCCCCTTGGCTCACTCTATCACTTCTTTCAGATCTCTGCTCAAATGTCACCTTGTCCAAGAGGCTGTCCCTAACCACCCTTGGTAAAATAACACCAGTACCCAGTTGCCTTCCCTCCCCTCTCCATTTTATTTCTTTACCCTGCCGTATTTCATAGCACTTGTCAACACCTAACACGTTATATGGTTATTTATTTACTTATAGTCTGTCTTCCCCATTAGAATGTAAGCTTCATTAAAGCAGGTATTTTTCTCTACTGTTCACTGTTTTGACTCCAGCACCTAGAACTGGCGGGTAACAGGCACTCAACTGAATGAATAGTTAGGAGTCTGTAAGAACACACAGTAAGGTGTTACAGTGGTCACCTGCAAGGAGAGGAATAGGAGCACTTCTAAGTTTACTGTGAATAGGATAATATATAACATATAAGTATAATGGGATGGAAAGAAGTAGGTAGATTTGGGAGCTATACAAAAGGACAGAGGATCCTAGGTCTTGCCAGTGGGTTGGATGTGGAGGTTTCTGCTTTGAGCAGCTGAGGAAATAGTGGTGCCATTTACGCAGATGGAGAGCCTTGGAGGTAAAGTAGATGGGGATGGGGGTGGAAAGTAATGCAGACAAAGAGCTATCTTTGGTCATGCTTTGGTCATGTTTTTGTGCCTACCAAACGTCTCAGAGGAGATATCCTGTAGACAGGGACATATCCAAATCTAAACTCAGGAAAGGCCCAAGTGGAGCTAGAGATGTGGGTCATCTGCACCTGGAGAATGTGCGGCAAGAAGAGGTGGAGGCCCAGGACCAACATTTACGAGGAAGAGGAGCCAGAACAGAAGATTGAGTTGCCCTCTGCAGCCCCAGAGCCCTCCTTTCCTTTCCTAAAATGCACCAATTCCTTTCCCACATCAGAGTCTTAGCATTTGCTGCACCCTCTATTTCAGCCTGTCTCCTTCTCAGTCTTTTTTTGTTCTGTTTTGTTTGTTTGTTTTCTGCTGAGGAAGATTCACCCTGAGCTAACATGCACTGCCAATCTTCCTCGTTTTGTACGTGAGCCACATACAAAACACCACCACAGCATGGTCACTAACAGACAAGTGGCGTAGCTCTGTGCCCAGGAACCGAAGCCAGGCAGCCTAAGCAGAAGGTGCCGAACTTAACCACTAGGCCACCAGGGCTGGCCTCAGTCTTTTTTTTTTTTTTAGTTAAATATTTATTTAGTGGCTACGTATATATTGGATTTTTGAGATCACTTATACTGGGTTTTTTTTTTCAATCTTTTCAGTGAGTTTTTTCCCTAAGACTTTACTTTTTTAGAGCAGTTTTATGTTCACAGCAAAATTGAGAGAAAGATGCTATACCACTACTGGGTATCTATCCAAAGAACATGAAATCAACAATTCAAAGAGACTTATGAACCTCTCTGTTCACTGCAGCACTATTCAACATAGCCAAGAGGTGGAAGCAACCCAAGTGCCCATTGACTGATGATTGGATAAAGAAGATGTGGTATACATACATATATATATAATGGAATACTACTCAGCCATAAAAAGAGACAAAATCATCCCATTTGCAACAACATGGAAGGACCTTGAGGGTATTCTGTTAAGTGAAATAAGCCAAGCAGAGAAAGATAAACACCAGATGATTTCACTCATATGTGGAAGATAAACACATGGACAAAGAGAACAGTTCAGTGGTTACCAAGGGAAGGGGGTTGGGGGGTGGGGACAAAAGATGAAGGGACACACTTATATGGTGACAGACAAGTAATAATGTACAACTGAAATTTCAAAATGTTGTAAACTAGTATAACCTCAATAAAAATAAATAGAAACTGAGAAAGAGAGAGACAGAGATTTCTCATATACCCCTTCTTCCCACACCTGCACAGGCTCTCCCATTATCAATATTCCCCACGAGAGTGGTATGTTTGTTAAATTGATGAAGCCACATTGATACATCATAATCACCCAAAGTCTGTAGTTTACAATACAGTTTACTCTTGGTGTTGTACATTCTATGGATTTGGACAAATGTATATTAACATGTATCCATCATTATAGTATCATGCAAAGTATTTTTACTTTGTATTTGTCCTGAAAATCTTCTGTGCTCTGCCTATTCACTCCTCACCCCCTTCTCATTCTTGAAGGCCAATGTTGACATCACCTGGTCAGAGAGGCCTTCCCTGACTACACCCCCCATACCTCAGTCACTTTCTACCACATTACTGTATTTCTATTCCTTTGTTTGTTTGTTTTTGAGGAAGATCAGCCCTGAGCTACCATCTGCTCCCAATCCTCCTCTTTTTGCTGAGGAAGACTGGCCCTGAGCTAACATCCGTGCCCATCTTCCTCTACTTTATATGTGGGATGCCTACCACAGCATGGCTTGCCAAGCGGTGCCATATCCACACCCGGGATCTGAACCGGCGAACCCCGAGCCACCAAGAAGCAGAACATTGCGCCACTGGGCAGGCCCCCGATACATTTCTATTCTTTATAGCACTCATCCCTCTCTAAACTTGTCTTGTTTGTCTGCTGGTTTATTTTCTATCTCCTCCGTGAGACTGTAAGCTCCATGAGGACAGGGAGCTTGTCTGACTTTTTCACTTATCTGTTCCTATAATTTAGCATAGTGCCTAGAACATAAAATGGACTTTAAAAAATATTTGCAGAAAGAATGACCTGCCATAGATATAGAAGGAAAATCAAGTGTCATTGAAGCCAAGGAGTTGGTCACTAATGTCAATTGATGAAATTTGGGTTGAAACTTCAGATTTCAACTTACTTTAGGTTCCTGAACATAGTGCACATAATCACAAGGGTTAAGGCTGCACCAAGAATGTTAAGGAAAAAATAATTTAAAAAGTCAATCAGGGGGCCGGCTCCGTGGCCGAGTGGTTAAGTTCGCACACTCCACTGTGGTGGCCCAGGGTTCGGATCCTTGAGCGCAGACATGGCACCGCTCGTCAGGCCACGTTGAGGTGGCGTCCCACATCCCACAACTAGAAGGACCTGCAACTAAGAAATACAACTATGTACAGGGGTGGTTTGGGGAGATAAAGCAGAAAAAAAAAAAGAGAGATTGGCAACAGTTGTTAGCCCAGGTGCCAATCTTTAAAAAAAAAAAAGTCAATCAGCTGAGGTTGGCCTGGTGGCATAGTAGTTAAGTTCACACACTCCACTTCAGTGGTCCAGGGTTCACTTGTTCAGATCCTGGGCACAGACCTACACAACACTCATCAAGCCATGCTGTGGCAGCGTTCCACATAGAAGAACTAGAAGGACTTACAGCTAAGATATACAACTATGTACTGGGGCTTTGGGGAGAAAAAAAGAGGAAGATTGGCAACAGATGTTAGCTCAGGGCCAATCTTCCTCACAAAAAAAAGAAAGTCAATCAGCAAGAATGTATGGAATATTCTAAAAGTAACACAAAATAATGTCAAAATGTCCATAAAGATGAACTATCAGGAATCATTTTTGAGGGGCTGGTCCAGTGGCACAGTGAGTAAGATCCCCCGTTCCACTCCTCGGCAGCCCGGGGTTCACAGGTTTGAATCCCAGGTGCGGACATGGCACCGCTTGGCAAAAGGCATGCTGTGGAAGGTGTCCCACGTATAAAGTAGAGGAAGATGGGCATGGATGTTAGCTCAGGGCCAGTCTTCCTCAGCAAAAAGAAGAGGATTGGCAGTAGTTAGCTCAGAGCTAATCTTCCTCAAAAAAAAAAGGAATCATTTTTAAGATTCTCTACATTATGAGGGCTTCATTATTATTATTTAAGATTTTGTTTTTCCTTTTTCTCCCCAAAGCACCCCCTATACCTAGTACATATATTGTAAAAATAAATATATTTTTAGTTGTGAGTCCTTCTAGTTGTGGCATGTGGGATGCCACCTCAGCATGGCTTGATGAGTGATGCCATGTCTGCGCCCAGGATCCGAACCAGCGAAACCCTGGGCCCTGAAGTGGAGCACGTGAACTTAACTACTCGGCCATGGGGCTGGCCCCGATGAGGGCTTCATTATTATTTATCTACATCGTGCTGGTAAATAGCTTTACAATTTACAAACTACTTTCCTGAATGTTATCTTGTTTGAGGCACTCTGCAGCCCATAAGGAAGGCAGAACCAAAACGAGTGAAGATCCAAGAATGGTGAAGACCTGGCAGCTTTGGAATAAAAGGTTGGAAAATCTTTACCTCTTGTTGTGGCCATGAAATGATGAGCATTCCTCCCCCATGAAGTTCCATAGAAGCGATCCAAGAGACTCTTGGCTTAGCCTGGAGAAAGCCAACAAAGAGCATAGATTTGGACAAGAGTCAGTAAAAACTAAAGGTAAAACCAAAGTGTGGGACCACCTCAGGGTCAAGTGTTTGGATGCCTGGGGCCCTAGTTGCGATTCATTTCCTTTTCAGATGAGTAGGGGAAAAGCAGTAAAGCCCTGCCCAGCCTGGCAGTTTTGTCCATTAGCTCAGCTAACTTCACGGTATTTTCTTCATTTCTGTGTAGCTCAGTCATTCTCAACTCTAGCTGCACGTTAGAATCATCTGGAGAGCTTTTTAAACATATGATAGCCAGGCACCACCCCCAGAGGTTTGGATTTACCTGTTCTTAGGTAGAAACTAAGTGTTTTTTAAATCTCCTGGTGATTCTAAAGTGCAGCCAGAGTTGAGAATCACTAATAACTAGTCTAAGCCTGGGCAGAAAACAGAGTCAAGTCAAATATACTTAAAACTCATTCATTAATTCATTTGTTCATACAACAATAATTATTTTAACACTCAACGATTAAAAATAATAATCTCATATTTACTAAGTCTTTGGTATATGCCAAGCTCTGTACTAAAAGCGTCACATGTCATCCAAGCCTCTCAATGATCCTAAGGTAGTTACTGTTGCACTCCTCAGTCTATAAATGAGACAACAGAGGGTTGGGTCACATTGGGAGTGTGTGGCAGTGCTGGGACCCAGATCTGCCAGAATCCAGAAGCCAACTTTTACAACCCCCATTTAGCTTCTGAAATGTTAATGGCTTTTAAAAACTCTTTGCTGAAAAGCCCCATTCAAAATAGGCTCCATGTCAAGACTATACCATTGCCAGAGGTAACTTAAATGCCTGGTGGTTATGCTATGTTTTGTCTTCTTGCACAGCTTGAAGCAGTTTGACAAGTGGGGCTGGGTGTGGGTTTGAGGGACGCTCAGGACAGGAGCTTACCTGTATCCTTTCCAAGCCTCTTCTAATAGAGGATGCTGTTGGCCTTAACCAGTGAGTTAAGTTTTAAATAAAAGAACCAAACTTAGCCCCTTGACACTTATGAAACACGTGTAAGGTTCTTTTTATTCGTGTTATTCATCTTCCCTGCAGAAACTGAAATCAAGATTTAGTTCTTAAAATTAGTCAGCAATGCGTGTTCATGATTCTTTCCTCTCTGATATGATCAAAGATGTGTACTCAAAAACAAACACTTCTCGCCCCTTTCATGCTCATATTTTTGTTGATAACCATGGAGAAAAAGAAGCTGAAAGGAGAAAAGTTAAAAACTGTGACAACCAAGCAAAATTATAACTAAAAAGCAGTCTTAAAAAGGGGAGGGGGAAAAGGGAGGGGGAAAAGGGAGGGGGTTGTGCTTTATCCTTCTGTTTAAAGTATCAGTGGGCTTCATTATGGAAACCTGGTTCTTTGTAGTCACCATTCTAAAAATTCTTTTTTTGTCTGGCATTTTTAGATTTTTATAGGAGTATGAAAAGTGCTATCAAAATAAGAATTGTTGCATTGTAATATAAATTAAATTAATATATTTTAGATCTCAGGTGTATTGGCAAATGAGTCATTTGGCTCCATTCATTGCTTCTGTTGCCTAACAACAATTTTTTCTAAATTCCAACAAACTTTGAGAAAAAGAAAATCTTGGAACAGAGCAGAGAGATAGATCTGCCAGGAATCTTTACATTGCCCGCGTAGGTCCTCATATAGGTTTTCTGCATACAAGAGAACTTAAAGTGGAAGCTGGGACAGCCTTTGTTTTTGGTTTACCCAGAGTGAATTTCATTCTGGGTTGACTGGAGTCAGGATGGCTGAGTAGGTCCTGGGATTCCTGGATTCCATGAGCTCACAGTGGAGTCTGGCAAACCTACATTCCATCCTGGCTCCCTCCATCAGTTCTTACCAGTCCAGCTTCTTTCTTTCTTTAATCACAACAGATCACTTTTCTGTCTGCCTATGAGTCTGGTAGGACCTGCCCCTCCATTACAGAAGGCTATTATCATATTCATTCATTCTTCCATTCGTTTGCTCAATCAACAAATATTTTGGAGCGCCTGCTATGTGACATGCATTGTACTAGACCCTGGAGAAACAGTAGTGGGCAGCCCTCATGAAATTTACATTCTAGAGAGGGAGAAAGACAGTAAGTAGTTAATAATTAAATGAACAGTATGATTTCAGATCGGGGTAAGTGTTAAGAGTGATGGGGAGGAGGTGTGCTCATCTAGATAGAGGGGTCAGGAAGGGACTCTCCAAAAAGGTGATGTTTGAGCTGAGACTTGAATGACCAGAACGAGCCCCCCGTGATAGAGTGGAATGTCCCAGAGGAGTAAATAGCAAATGTAAAAGCCCTAGGGTAGGAATAAGCCTGGCATATTCAAGGAACAGAAGAAAGGCCAGTGTGCTGCAGGGTAGTAAATGAGGAAAAGAGTAGTACTAGATGAGGTAAGAGACTAGGCAGGGGCCAAATCATTTAAGACCTTGTAGATTTATTTTATTTATTTTTATTTATTTTTTTTATTTTTTTGAGGATGGTAAGGAGTTTGACTTGTCCTTTAAGAGCAATGGGAAGCCCATGGGGGATTAACAAGTGGAGTGAACATGATCTGATTTGTATTTTCAAAAGGTCGTTTTGACTGCTGTATTAAGAATGAAGTGTAAGGGAACATGAATGAATGCCTATCATCATTCATTCATTTATTCATCTATTCAGAAATATCTTTTGAGAGCCTAATTGCCAGGCAGTGTGTCAAGCACTGGGAAATCATGGTGGGCAAAACATCATTCCTCCCCTCAAGGAGCTTACTAGACAGCTGGAGAGTCAGAGAAGTATAGAGGCTCTTATGCTATAACGAGCTAAGTGCTGGGCTGGGAGTAATCTCCATGTGTCAAGGGAACCCAGAGGAATTCATTCATTCATTCAGTCAGTCAGTCATTCATTTAGTAAATATTTATGTGCCAAGCTCTTGGGATACAGTGGTGAACTAAACAGACAAGGCACATACCCCCATGATGTTTACAGATTACTGGAGGAGACAGACCTTAATTAAACATTCTCACAGACCTGTCATTACCTATTGTGATATGAGCCATGAAAGAAAAAAAATGTGAGAATGTATAAGAGGGGAGCCTGGTATAGTCTGGAAGGACTCAGGAGGCCTGAAAGATGAGTTTCAGGTAAATAGTTAAGTAGGTAAAAAAGGAGAGGAAGGTTGTCAATTTTTTTTCCAAAGCTGGCAAAAAAAAAGGAGGGGAAGGGTGCTGTGGGACCACTGAGCTTCAGCCCCAGCTCTGTAGGTCAGGAAAGACTTTCTGACATCTAAGCCGAGTCCTGAAAGATGAGTACAAATTAGCCAGGTGAAGGGGATTTGGAGGGGAAGGGAAGGCTTCCAGAGCAAGGGAACAGCCTGTGCAAAGGCATGGAGGTCACAAAACATAGTGGAATCTGGGAAAAAGCAAGGTGCTCATCATGGCTGGGCTATAGAATAGAAAGGAAGAGCAAGGTCAAAGAGAATGAAGAAGTGAGCAGGAGTAGAATCGTGCCATGCTAATAAACCCTTGTGAACTTCATTCCGAGGGCAGCAGGGAACTGCTAAAGGATTTTAAGCAGAAGAGTGGTCAGGCTAGATGAAGTATTAGAAACTTTTCTAAACACAGAGAGGAGACTGGGCTGAGTCCCCACAACATGCCACACTTTATCTAGCAAAGTAGATCCTATGGAAAGTGGGCATTAGGCCTTCAGTGAAATCTCTCGGGATTTTCTTGGTTGAGCAAGGGCCAGTTTAGCAAATGACATTGGCCATCCTAAAACCTCCTTTCCCCACTGTCCACAGCCCAGCCCAGGACTGGAGGAATCATGAATTCGGAAGACTCTGCCAGTTGTGCTGAGCAACAACCCATGAGTGCCCCCAAGATTGAACATACCAAGGAACCCAGTTTCCTCTGCTTCATGGGCCATAATGTGGTACACAGAGCAAGGCCCCCTTAAATCTCAGCGGCTTATTCCTTTCATTAATTTGCTTAAGTGAGGCTGTGACCCCATGACTACTATCATTTGCCCTCAGCATTTTGCTCTCACCTTGAACTTTCAGCCAAACATCTGGCTCTCTGGACCAAAGCTCTTTTTGCCTGGTGGGTACTGTCTTCTGACTGCCCTGCCCTCCAATGGGTCTGTAGGTTTAGGAGGTTGGGAGAAGGTATCCCGTGTCTCCATTGAGTCTGTGGCCCAGGAGACCAGGATGAGACTTCCAAAATGTGATCTAGGCAGGTCCTCCCTACCTCAAGTGACTTCCCATTATTACGGGATAAAGTCTAAACAATTTAGCCTAACCTACAGGGCCCTTTGGCATCTGCTCCTTTATAACAGCTGTCCCCCTGCCTAGAGGTCTCTTCTCCATATCTCCCTGTGGCGATGCCTTCTTATAATTCAGGTCTCAACTCAAATGTCACCTCCTCACTTTGGCCTCCCTGACCACCCTCTCTAGGGTAGCTGGATACTCACTCTCTATCCCACTACCTCATTGTAGTTTCTTCATAGCACATGTCACCACCCAAAATTATTTGTTTGTCTACTTGCTTATTGTTGGTCTTCTCCCTCTAGGATGTGGCTGACGGCTTCAAAGTCTGTCTTATTTATTGTTTTATCCTCAGTACCCAGCACAATGTCTGGCACACAGTAGGTGCTGAATGAATGAATGGTCCTGGTCTATTTTTCCAATCTCATTCCACTCCATTCCTCCATTCACCTTTCTCAAGGCTAATCTCACTGTATTGCAATGACACATTGACCTGTCATCTACCCTACCTGCCAACATCTGCAAGCTCCTAAAGGAAGGCAGCCATTCACCTCCTTATCCCTAGCACACAACACAGTATCCAGCACACAGTAGGTGCTTCACTAATATTTGTTGATTGCCTAGATAGAAAAATATGGTTCAGAGAAACATGGATTAGAAAACCATGATCATTTTCATGGCAGTGGTCATAAATCTAGACCTACAGCAGAGAGACAGCCCCCCTTCCTATGGGCCAAACCAGGAAAATAACACCATATTAAATTCTGATAACTAAGAGCAAAAGAGAGTGAGTGTGGCCAAAAAGACCTTACTTCTTACCATCCGTGTACTCCCTAGTGGGCGAGAGCAGTCAATTCATGGGTGAAGAGTACCAGGAGCGTTCTCACTATCAACTCTGGCAGGATCAACCAAAGAGACCTGGGAGAAGTACCAGCTAAAGTTTGCACTGTGCTTCCCAGTCCTCAAACTTTATCTCACAAGGGCATGGGTGGAAGGAAAGTAGATTTCATCCAATCAATGAAGCTCAGATAGGTCCAGCAGCCTGCCTAAGGAGACACCACTGGGAGTGAGTTGCTCTTTAGCTGTGCCTTTATTCTGCTATTTGGGAGTCCTTAGCATGTTCATCCAAGTTTTGGTTGCTAAGCTCCTAGAAGTCTGTGTAATTACTGTTGTCTAAAATACAGAACAGCAGAATGGGTAATTGGATGCTTTTAATAAAATCCTTTTGGATGATACTGATGATAATGATGCTGAAGATGATGGCAGTTTTGATAACAATGATGATGAAGATGCTATCCTTGAAGACAAGGACCAGGAGGGAACCCTTATCTTAGAGTAGAGCCAGAGCCATCGCCACAGGCAAAGGGCTGATCAGGATGCAGCATTGCCTAGCAGTTGATCTGGACTCTCGAGTTGGGCCACCTGTGAACTCAGGGCTCCACTTCTAATTGACTATGTGGCTTCACCAAGCCTCAGTTTCCTCATCTCTAAATGGAGATTGTTACCTGACTCTTAGGTTGTTTGAAGGCTCTTTTTTTTTTGAGGAAGATTAGCCCTGAGCTAACTACTGCTAATCCTCCTCTTTTTGCTGAGGAAGACTGGCCCTGAGCTAACATCCACGCCCATCTTCCTCTACTTTATATGTGGGACACCTACCACAGCATGGCGTGCCAAGTGGTGCTACGTCCACACCCAGGATCCGAACCGGTGAACCCCGGGCCACCGAGAAAACAGAACGTGCGAACTTAACCGCTGTGCCATCAGGCCGGCCCCTGAAGGCTCTTTTGAAGTAATAAAATAGGCTCATTATCACAGAGCCTGTATCACAGTAAATATCTCATGATGATACTAGCAAATTCTTACAAACAGCATACTTTATGACAGGTGATGTTCTAAGCACTTTACATAGATTAGTTCATTTGTGTAACACCCTATAAGGTAATTCTAACATCACCTGTTTTATAGATAAAGAAACAAAGGCATCCACAGAGAAGTTGAATAATTTGTCCATAATCACAAACCAGAAAGTGCCAAAGCTGGGTGTTGAACCAAGGCAGTCTGAGTCCAGAGGCATTACACAGCTATGGCGGCCGTGGAGATGTGCTGCTCAGATTTCCCTTTGAGAGAACTGTTGTAGCGAGCAGAGTTGACTGACCTTGAGATCCATCACAGAATCCACACCAAGGCCATGCTTCCTCTGGGCTGCTCTCAGCCTATGACTGAGCACAGTAGGGGTACCAGAGTGGGGCCATTCCTGCCCAACATGGGACTCTTCTGATGGGCAATGTTTTTGTGTGTGTGGTAAAATATGCATAACATAAAATTTGCCATTTTAACTATTTTTAAGTATATAGTTTAGTGGCATTACATACATTCACAGTGTTGTGCCATCATCACCACCATTCATCTTCAGAACTTTTTTATCTTCCCAAACTGAAATTCCATGCCTGTTAAACATTAAGTCCCCATTTCCCCCTCTCCCCCAGTGCTAGCAACCACCATTCTACTTTTCTTTTTCTTTCTTTCTTTTTTTTTTTTTTTTTTGCTAAGGAAGATTCATCCTGAGCTAACATGTGTTGCCATTCTTCCTCTGTTTTTTTTTTTTGTATGTGGGCTACTGCCACAGCATGGCCACAGACAAGTGGCATAGGTCTGCACCCAGGAACCAAACCCAGGCCACAAAGCAGAGTACACTGAACTTAATCACTAGGCCACCGGAGCTGGCCCCCACCATTCTACTTTTGTCTATGATTTTGACTATTCTAGGTACCTCATATAAGTGGAATCATACAATGTTTTTCCTTTTGTGAGTGGCTTATTTTGCTTAGCATAATGCCTTCAAGGTTTACCCATGTTGTAGCATGTGTCAGAATTCCCATCCTTTTAAGGCTGAATAATATTCCATGGTACATGTATACCACATTTTGTTTATCCATTCATCTGATGGGCAACCTTTGCTCAGAGACTTTCAATCAGCCTGGCTAAGTCTTTTTCAGAACTACACTTTGGTTTGAAGCTTTCCTACCCAATCCTCCCTTATTGCCCATCTTCTTTTTCAGATTGTCGGAACCTGCATCATAGTTAGAAGACTCTCACCATCCTCCCCAGCTCCCTCTCCCTTTGTTCTTCACAGATGCTCCCCCATTAATCTTTTGCATGCCTAATTTCATTTTAGTGTCTATGTCTCAGAGGACCATACTAACACAACAGCCTCTTAATAAACATTATCATTATTATTTCTTGGGAAGGGGAAGAAGCATTTAAAGCAAATGTGTAAAAAGAATTTAGGACAGTTATAAAGCATAATTCTGCATGGTATACTCTTTTTTGAATTTTTTTTGTTATATATATCTCATTGTAGAAAAGTTAGAAAACACACACAAGTAAAATGAAGAAAATTAAATTCTGGGGTTATTCTACTACCCCAGATTGTTTTCAACCATTACTGTCAGTACTGTTTCATTTGGGGGTAGATCTCTCTAGATATTTATCTCTACATATGCAATATCAGTTTCTTTTTTTTTTTTTTTAAAGATTTTATTTTTTCTTTTTCTCCCCAAAGCCCCCCGGTACATAGTTGTGTATTTTTAGTTGTAGATCCCTCTGGTTGTGCTATGTGGGACGCCGCCTCAGCATGCCTTGATGAACGGTGCCATGTCCGTGCCCAGGATCTGAACTGGCGAAACCCTGGGCTCCCAAAGTGGAGCGTACGAATTTAACCACTCGGCCATGGGCCGGCCCCATCAGTTTCTTTTTAAGGAAACTGGTTTCTCCCATAGGATAAATTGGGTGGAGTTGACTCTATGGAGCTTGGAGTCTATAAACTGACTTAGTTTAGGAATGCGTTCATCCATCCATTCATTTAATACATATTTATTGAATACCTACCAAGTATCAGGCCCTGCTCTAGACACACAGGGTACAAGACCAACACAGCTCTTGCCTGCAGAAAGCATACAGTCAGTAGAACATAGACACATCTCCAGGCAATTACCATACACTGCTGTGTGAACTCAGAGCAGGGCCACCCAGCCCAAACTGGTTTCTTAGAGAAAATGTCTAAGTCAAAACCTGAGGAATGGCAAGGAGTTAGCCAGGCAAAAAAGAGGAAATTTTAAGAGGCATTGTAGGGCTAGAACCTAGGCAAAGTGGGTCATATATAATAGGCTTGGTTGCCTAAGGAGCAGCTGACTCTGCCCACAACTGCCAAAAATGATTAATGACTTTGTATGTATGAGCGTGTGCATAGCAGCCACTCAGACTAAGCAAGGAATAAGATCTTAACCAGTCAAGGAATCTTGGGCAGAGGCTCTCAACAGAGAAAGCAGATACTCAGGAACGCACCAGAGGAGAGAAGGTAACTGATCTCCAACCTTAGGTTAGAAATATTGGCCAAGAATTAAGCTCCCTGAGGGCAGGGATGGTGACTTCTCCACCTCTGTGGAATCCATAGGCCCAAGACAAAGCCGAGTAAAAAGTGGACCCTAGTTGTAACTGGGGCCCATGGCATTGTTGTTTCTCAGCCTAAAGAGGCCTCAGGCAACAAGAAGACACTCTGGATGATTCTGGCATCATCTCAAGCCGCTTCTTGGAGGGGCAGTTGATTCAACATGAACTATGAAGTCCAGGATCTTGGAAGCGCTATAGAAAAAATATAAAAGCCCAGCCTTTCCCTGAGTAGATTTGAATTATTTGTCACCACCAGTAGCAGCACCGCCCATCACAGAATTTCCAAGAGAGGTTGTAGATCAGCAGAAAGTATTATTTCAAATATTGTTCTGATATTAACTTTTTTTTGATTGGCAGCACTCGACATCAAATTTTCTGCATCCTGTAATTCTTGTTGGCCAAGTTCTATTTTAGCATATGAGTATAAATAAAATTATTCAATGAGATAATATCCAAAGGGCTCGAAGTGTGCTGACAGTTACCACCATCTCATTAAATGTGAGTATCTTTATGATGCAACTTGGGTTTTTTCAAAAATAAGCAGTAGACAACCACAGTGTGGTATTTTTAGGTACGTAGGTGAGGCAGGCACCCACACATACTACCACAACCCTCTGAACAGTAAAGATAGCTCCTCACTTCCCCGGCCTGGAAGGGGATGGGCTGAGATGACCTGGCAGTGCTTCCTCACTGTTACCTTCTTCGAGAGTCAGCAAAACCGCACCCCCCCCCCCAACTCCCACCTCCAAATTTAATGCTTGGTGAAGCAGCTACCAGCAAGTAGCCTAGGGAGTTAAGGCCCATCTCTGTGAAACAGGAACATGCCCAGTCCTGGCAGCTGGACACCCTAAGACAAGCAATCACAAAGACCAGTATGGCCAGGGGTCTGCATGTCCTGATCATGGAAGAAATGTCACCTCCTTCCTCAGGGACAGTCCTGAGTGGGGGTTGTCACTGGGTGAGTGAACACCCACTGGTCTTCTGAGCCAATTTGGCAGTCAGGGTAAAAATAACACCAGCCGCATCATTTTCTAAAATTAAGGGCGATGCTATAGCAAATGTATGCAGATGTATACAGACACAGATGGGAACAAGTGTATTTAATTGTAAATGAGTCAGAACAGAGCAAATGAGATTTCCCTTATATTTGGGTTCCAAAAATTACAGGGAAAATGTGCTTGAGGCAGAAACAAACTGAAAAAAACACCAAAAAAATGGGGGTAGGTTATTGAGGCAGGAGCCACATGGGAAGGAACCTTTGGCCTCCAGAAGGCTGGAATGGTTTTGGTCTCCTCTGTGGGTTATGAAGATGTCCTGGCTCTCAAGAACTTGTTCCCAGAGGCCCGAAAGTGGCCAAAGTGCTCATGGAATGGACACAGGCACAGATGGCAGGACTCATGGTGTCTCAGCCTCATCTGGCCCATAGGTGGGGAAAGGATGGAAGGGCTATAATGGACTGTCCCCAAGGAGAGAGCCAAAGGCTAGCTTTTGTGACCTCAGAGAAACAAGCTGAGACAGAGTAAAAGAGAGAGGGAGAAAAAAACATCTCTGCCTAGCTCCCTGTGGCCAGAGAGACAAGAATGACAACAGAATGCTTCTTGTTTAGAAAGCACCATTTCTCAACAGCTTTAAGGAAGGCACCTAGTAGAGTGCCAGGATCTTGGTAGATGTTCAGTAAATGTTAGAAGAAGGAAAGAAAAGAGAAAGGATGGAAGAAAGAAAGAATGCATCACCCTGCAAGTCCCTCCCACTCTGTGGACTGAAGCGGTGCTGTGGTGAAGAACCGCAGAAGCGAAAAGGCAGATTGCCCAAGTAAAAGGGACATGCTTCAAAAGACGCAAGTGTGTCCTCCATCAGGGCTCAGGGGAATGTCGGGGACTAACAGGAAAACGAGACACACCGATCAGGCCTCTGACCCCTGTAAGCTCATCCCCTCCACAGGCAGCAGTCTGGAATTCATACCTATCCCCTCTGTCTGAACAATTGTAATTTGCTTCTCAGAGAACAGAAAAATGTTGGTTTCACCACAGTGGGTGAGCTATCCCTAGGGGCAGCAACCTGACACACAAGTCCAGAAGCTTTGTGCATCTGGGCAGCCTCAGAGCTCCGCACCTCATAGGCAACTAATAAATGCATGCAAGTAGATGAATGTATGAATGAATGAACACAACAAAGACTCTTTCCTCACCTAAAAATGGTCTTACTCTGTCGTTTGAACCCTTTACCTCTCCCTCCCCAGGCTTGTTTCCTCTGTCTAGTGATGATTCTCTGCCTCCGACCTCGAGGAGCAGCAAACCCAGCCCTTTTCCTGGGGTCCAGCTCGCCTGGCAGGAGGATTCTGGGAAGGCATGAAGCACAAAGTCTGCTCTTGGGAAAAGGGCAGGGGGAGCTGTCATCCTGGCCATCCTGCACGCTTTGCCCACACATTTGCAGTCCTTGCCTTATCTTCCCAGAAAGCCTAGAGGCTAGGTTGGCCTTGCTGACATTTGACCCTGGCTTTCTCCCCCCACAACTCTCCCAGCCCCACTCTCATCCCTGCCTCACCCCCAGGATGTCAACCTTGAAGAAAGCCCATACTGTGTGCTTGGTGGTCTGCAGATCAGCTCCAAGTAGGAGTACTGATGCTTGGAGTGCCACTCACCCAGGAGATCATACGCCTGAGCTTCACTCTGGGCACCCACCCTGCTAGATGCCAGTGGATACAGAAGCGAAAGAGGAAAATGAAGAAATGCCACACAGCACACCCAGCACAGCTGTGAGCTGCCCAGCATCGTCACTGCAGCTCCAGTCTGCCACATGCCAGCCTGGTGGAAGGATTTACTTAAAATGAAGTCAAAGAGAGTTGAAAAACTAACTACAAGCAGAGGCCTGTGTCTGCTTTTCACAGGCCTTATTTCAACACTGGCTTCCTACAAAATCTCAGTGCCCAAGCTCTGGCCACTTTCTGTAACATGCCTCCCCTCGCTCTGCCCTTGCCTTCCGTGTCTCACTCTGCATTATGCATTCCACTTTCTAGTCCCTCCATCTTCTTTCCTCCTGTTTTTCTTCTTCCTCCTCTTTCTTCTCCCTTCTTCCTCACCTATTCGATTTGCTCAGCACTTGACAGTTATGAAGCTCTGATAGAACATCAGACATAATGAGTTCAGTGGCATATGTGACAGAGATGAAGAAAAGAGATGGAGACTCTGTTAGCATAATGACCACCAGAGCTACCCTATAAGAGGGAACAGCATCTTGTAGATGCTTCATCCTGACGCTGGGCTTTGGAAAAGCAGCCCTTGTCTTTCATCTCCAATGAGCAAGAACTAAAGACTGACACCTATGCTTGTGTTTTGTGAGATGTCTGTCTTGGTTTCGGTTCCCCCAAAGCAGACCTTGAAACAGGGGCTCAAGTGCAAATAGTCTATTTGGGAGGTGATTCCAGGAAACACTAGTGGGGAGAGAGGAAGTGAGACAAAGGAGCTTCCAGAAGGAAGCCACTAAAGGGTGCATTATAAGGTGTTAAGTTACTATGGGGACAACTAGAGCTCAGATCTGCTGAGAACTCTAGAAGACAATGTGGAAGGTGCCTCAGGGTTGTCCCCACTGCGGGGTGAGGAAGCTGGGCTACACAGACACTTCTGTCATTAGTTGGGAGCTGCTTTCAGAGCTGAGCCATTAACTCCCTGGCACTTCCCACCTTCCCTGTGCAGAGGTGAAGTGTGTTGCTGTGGCCAGAACAAAGCCCTCAGGCCGAGTCCCAGGTGTTTGCCGTGAGCGGTCTCTGGTGTGAAGAGGTGAGTGCTGAAAGGATTTCAGCAGGCCAACAGCAACATCTGCTATAAACCGCTGTAGCCTTCCAATCAGCACCCTTGAACTTGAGCCACGTTGAGTGGGTTTCTATCCCTTGAAACTCAACATCCCCTCACTAAGATATCCCACCTTTCCCTCATTACTCCTAGGAGCTATTCAAGGTAGTGCCAAGTTCCCTCACTCTCCTCCTTTCTCTTGTCCCTGGGGCCTTAAAATGTCCCTCTCCTCCACCTCAAAATGTCTTTGGATCATTCTTTTTTTCTTTGCTCTGGGCTTGGAATATTTTCTTTTCACCTGAGCTTTTGTACACACACACAAACACACACACGCTGCTTCCTCCAAGACTTTGTTCTGTTATCAGTTACCCTCCTTGAATGATGAGCAAGAGTTCTGAAGAGAGTGTTCCAGGCAATGGAAGCAGCAGGAGCCCACACTTAAACTGGGTCTAAGGGTGCCCTGCCCAATGGATCCCATCTCCCATAATACAAAATCCAGTTCCTGAGCCTTGAATTCAGTACCATAATCCAATTTACTTTTTTTTTTTTTATACCTAATCTACTTCTGTCTTTTCCTATACATCTCACTAATCAACAAACATTTATGAGGGCTTTACTATATACCAGGCATGGGTAAGGGACCAGGGAGGAGCAGTGAATAAGACAGACACAGTGACACAGTCCCTGTCTTCATGGAGTCTGCAGCCCATTAGGGGTGGAGAAGAGAGAGATGAGGTGGAGATCATAGGAAGGTTGCCCTTCTCTGAGCCAAAAAGCATTCAGGAGAGGAGCCCAGAACGACCTGCCCTCCTGGCCTCTGTGCCTCTCCCCATCTGTGTCCAGCCTCCAATAATTCCCACCTCCTGGTATTCACACCTGGGGTAGTTCCTTCCCACACTGGGCCAGTCGGTCTCTATGACCAAGAGAATACAGCAGAAGTAATGATATGTCACTTCTGAGATTAGGTTATAAAAGACACTGCAGCCTTTGTCTGGGGCTCTCTTTTTTTTCTCTCTCTCTCTCAGATCATTTGGTCTGAGATTCAGTTGCCATATTATAAGCATCTCTGTGGAGAAACTGAGACTTCCAGCAAACAGCCACATGGATGACTCGTCTTAGAAGTAGATCCTCCAGCCCCAGTCAAACCTTCTGATGACTGCAGACCCAGTGATGCAATCTCCTGAGAGACTCTTAGGCAGAACCACCTCACTCAGCTGCTCCCCAATTTCTGACCCTCAGAAATTGTGTGACATAATAAATCTTTATTTTTTTAAGCCACTATATTTTGGGGTAATTTGTTACACAGCAATAGATAACTAACATACCACCTTTCACTCTATTACCTTTCCCTTGATATCCAGGGCCTTTCTGCTTATCCCTTATGGTTCTCATTGTCCACCTGCTCACCAGCATCTCTTGGTGGGCCCAACAGAAAACATTACGACATGATTCCAAAGGTGCTTTCAAAGCCTCAAAGTTAGCTAAAACCCTACACACTTACACACTTTCCTTTCCCTTAGCAGTTTTTTCCCTTAATTTATGTTCCCTTATACAATTCAAGGTGAAAAAGAAGCCACAAGTTCCTAATTCATTTATACTCTCCTCTTCCACATGGCCTTGTGAGAGTGATTTCGTGTGAGAAAGGTCTCTCTCTGAACCCCTTAAAGCTTCTGCTCTTCTACTGTGAACAAAAGAAGTGAGCTAGCCAAGAATAAATGGAATTTGGACCTCAAAAGGTTGGAGCTGGATCTTAAATCTGGAATTCGTGCTCTCTGAGTGGGTTCCAAACTGGAAGCTTCCTTGCCCTCCTCTGATTCAGTCTCTCTTCCTCATTGGACTGTTCTGTCCACCAGAGATATGGAAACACTTCCCACGGTGGCTTCCTTGGAGAGCATGAAGGAAGGAGTCACTCAAGTACAGAATTATCTTAAAGCTACAGTGCAGGGCTTGGACAGGCTTAGAATGACTCATGGGGCTGGCTTCTCTATCAGCAGAGGATTCAAGCTCTGGACTTGGTTTTCCCCTTTTTGTTCTAATTTTCAATCCTGAGAAGGAGCTCTGAAAATTCCCAAGGAACATTAAACCATCTACCTGCCCCAGGTCACCACCCTAAGATTTGGCATTGAGGAACCATTTCTCCAGGCTTTGTGATAGCCCAGTGTGGGACACAAGACAGAAAAGACAGAAGCAGTTTTAGTTATTTTGGTAACATTAGTTGTGTCCCTCTCCTTTGGAATGAGTGCAAATTCTTCTGAAAGGCATAAAGGAGATAGGGGGATACAGAATACTATTTATTGAGTCCCTACTATGTACAAGATTGTTACTTCATTCCTCACAGGAACCCAGTGAGGGAGGATTTGGTGGCAGTTTTAGAACATGGCTTCAAATTCTTTGATCGTCCTCTCACTGAGAGGCAGAGTTTATTCTGTATCCTCTACCCTTGAATCTGGGGAGGCTGGTGACTTCTTTGACTGTACAGTGTGGTGAAAATGATGCTATGTGACTCCCAAGGCCAGGTCATAAAATGCCACAAAGTTCCTGCCTTGTTGGCTGGGACACTCATTCTTGGTACCTGGAGTCATCATGTAGGATGTCCCAGAGCCCAGAGGCCACCACTCTGTGAAGAAGCCCAAACCATATGGAGAAGCCATACATAGATGGTCTGGTCAACAGTCCCAATTTAGCCCAGTTTCAAATCATCCCAGCTGAAGCCCCAAACATCATGAAGCAGAAACGACCCGTCCCCATTGTGCCTTGGTCCAAATTGCTGACCCAGAGAATCTGTGAGCATGACAAATTGGTTGTTTTTATGCCATTAGGTTTAGGATTATTTGTTACACAGCAATAAACAACTATAACAGTATTATTTTTCCTTTTGCACTGATGTGGAAACTGAGACTTGGAGAAATTAAATTTTAAGGCCAGTAAGTGACAAAAAGATGATTTGAACTTGGGTCTCTAACTATAAAAGTCAGGTCTCTGACTTTTTCCAAGAGGGGCCCAATCTGGGGCTGGCCTGGTGGCTCAGTGGTTAAGTTCACACATTCTGCTTCAGAGGCCCAGGGTTCACCAGTTCGGATCCCGGGTGCAGACATGGCACCACTTGGCAAGCCATGCTGTGGTAGGCGTCCCATATATAAAGTAGAGGAAGATGGGCACAGATGTTGGCTCAGAGCCAGCCTTCCTCAGCAAAAAAAAAAAAAAAAAAAAAAGAGGGACCCAATCAGGGATGGGATATCAGGACTACTTGGGCTGTAGGATTGGGGAGAATCATATAGTTGTACTTTTTCTCAATTGAATCACATCCCAAATCCTGTACTCACCTTCTCATTTCAGGGAAGACGTGCTCACATTCTTCAACCCCTGGGGACATTTGGCAAGGATTAATCCAGCTTCTCTAACTGGTTATTGTTTGATGCTGAGTGTAGGAAGCTGGAGCAGGTCTGGAGGCCTCATCTCCAGTAGGTCAGACCTGTATGCTAGTGCCAGATTGACCCATTTTTCAGCAGCTCCTGACCTCCAGGAAATGCTCTGAGCTAGCACCTCTCATCAAAAACCTTTTGAGGATTGGCCTAAAAAAATATGGGTCCATGGGGCCGCCCCGTGGCCAAGTGGTTAAGTTCGCGTGCTCTGCTCTGGTGGTCCAGGGTTTTGGCGGTTCAGATCCTGGGCGCAGACATGGCATGGCTCATCAGGCCATGGTGAGGCGGTGTCCCACATAGCACAACCAGAGGCATGCATAACCAGAATACACAACTATGTACTGGGGGGCTTTGGAAGAAGAAGAAGAAAAGAAGAAGAAGAAAAGAAGATTGGCAACAGTTGTTAGCTCAGGTGCCAATCTTTAAAAAAAACTGGGTCCACCTGTGAGGTGGAGGTAAGGCAGGTTTGGCCATTTGTCTCCCGTGGAGAGGGGACACGGAGTCTGGTCTCTCCTTTCTCTTCCCTGTTTACAATGGTGCTGAGGGTTTCATTTCATTAGTTTTATAAAGTCTCTGGAGGGTGTCGGGTGTCAGGTGCTATAATAAGTGTGAAATTTAACTACTTTTTCATCAAGGCAAAAAATTCAGCCTCAGAGATTCAAGTGCTTGGAATCTGCTTGTAAAATGCAGGAACCCTATTGTCAACCTTAAATAAATTGCAACTGAAGCATGATCAGACACCGAACTATCACCACGAGTCCTCTCAGGAGCTCTCACTCTCCAGCAAAGGACAGGCAATAATAACTAGGTCCAGGAAGGGGGCCAGATGGAAGCCACAGTCTCGCCACTTCTCATGGCTGGGGGCTTCCAATGGCCCAGTGCTTTTCTAGAATGTACCATTCTCCCTATAGAGGCTCACCATCCCACTCTGCAGACTTTCTTCAGCACCCGCCCCACCTCCCTGCACAATAATTTCTGGTGAGTACTGTAGGTCAAGTTTTCCAAAGGCACAGCTCTGGCCATTAACCTTTAAAGAGCAAAATGCCAATGGTGCTGCGTCACAGGGAGCACACCTTCTATTTACAGCTGCTTTTTCAGATCACAAGGTACTAGGCAAAGAGAGAATTTTGCTTTAATAAGAAGCAGACACTTAGAATTAACGCAGGGGAGAAAAAGCCATGAAGGGATGTGTGCAAGCCGTGGACACTCCAGGTCAAGCAGAGGAGACGTTGGGCAGCACACTGCAAGAGGGTTATGGGGCCAAAGCCACTAGGAGCAGATTTGGCCAATTCCACAGGGAAGGGAAATTAGCATTTACTGACCTATTACTGTGTCAGGTGCCATGCAAGATACTTTGCATACATTATGTATTCCTCGTTTTAAACCTGTGAGATCTCACTTTATGAATGAGTAAACTGAGGCTCAGAAAAAAGTAATTAATTAACTGAAGCTAATTGCACCAAATCACATGGCAATATGGGAGGAACCTGGAATTCAAACCCAGATTTGTTTACTCTGCATTCTTTATTTTACCTACTGCTGGAGAGAAGTATTTGTTATCCTCACCTTGGTACAGATATCCCAGTGTGTGACCCCCCACCCTCTTCAAAATGAAAAAGGAAAAGATTAAAAGTTATCTCTACTGTGTTTATAGAATGACCTGAATGAAAGAATCTTTTATACCAGAAGGTCCCAGAAGAAACTCTGAATGTTGACTGTTGGACTCAGAATCTGGAATGTAGGCTATAGAAGCACCCACCTTTCCTAACATCTCCCTCAGGGCCAAGCCTAAACATCAGCTTGTCCACAATGCTTCTCAAGTACCTACACTTCTTTCTCTTTAAATTCTCTTCAAGATGACTCCAAATACTCATCTCTCCAGGCTGGCAGAACACTGATGGCCAGCCATTTCGCCCATCCTCATGAAGTTCAGTGTCGCAGGCCGGGTCAGGGAGGTTCTTCCACATGTCAGCCACACAGGCCACCACTGACACATCCATCATCCCAGCCCACCAGTCTTTTTTTTTTTTTTTTTTGAGGAAGATCAGCCCTGAGCTAACATCTGCCAATCCTCTTCTTTTTGGTGAGGAAGACTAGCCCTGAGCTAACATTCGTGCCCATCTTCCTCTACTTTATATGTGGGACGCCTACCACAGCATGGCTTGATGAGCAGTGCCGTGTCCACACCCAGGATCCGAACTGGCAGACCCCAGGCCGCCAAAGCGGAACCTGCGCACTTAATGGCTGCACCACTGGGCCGGCCTCCCCCAGCCCCCACCAGTCCTTTTATCAGGAAGTTCTGCTGCTTTGGGGCCAGACTTGCAGCAGGAGCTTCTTGGGGGTCCAGCCTCTCTAGAATACTCCCTTGGAGATACTGCCAAGCAGTGGGGCTCAGATCTGCACAGCTTGGAAGACTCTTGGCTTAAGATTTCTTCCCAATCTGCCTGCTCTCCAGGGTACCCTCCTCTTTCCCACTCAGTCTAGGACCCTAGTACAGTCCCATCAATGTTTGAGGGAAAAAACAAAACAAGACAAAAAGGAAACTTTCTGTTCATTCCCCATTATTCCCCATGGCAGGCAATGAAACTGTTCATTCAACTGCAAGCCAAAAACTTAAGAATTATTTCCAATTCCTTTCTTTCTCTTACACTTTATAATATTCAATCCATCAGCCTATTGCCTCTACCTTCAAAATATATCCAGAATCTAGCTACTTCTCACTACCTTCACTGCTACTGCCTCAGTCCAAGCACCCATCACCTCTTGTTTGGACTATTGCACTCCCAACTCCTCTTCCTTCTTCAATTCTCATGCCCTTTTAGTCTATTTTATACACAACACTTAGAACTGCACTAATACAGTAGCCACTAGCCATATGTGGCTATTTAAATGTAATTTTAAATTAATTAAAATTAAATAATTAAAATTTCATTCCCTTAGTCATACTTTCCACATTTCAAATGCTCAGTAGCCACATGTGGCCAATGGCTACTATATTGGACAGAGCAGACATGAAACATTTTGATTATTGAAGAAAGTTCTATCGGACAGCTCTGATCTAGAGTGAGCCTTTTAACACTTCAGTCAGATCATGTCTGTCACCTGCTCAAAATGCTCCAATGACTTCCCATTATACTTACAAAAAAAACCCACCAAATCCACAGACCTGACCATGATCACTTCATTTAGATCTCTGCTCAAATGTCTCCTCTCCCATGACTACCCCATCTGAAAAAAGAGTCATATCCTTTCCCTCCACCCTCAGTCACTCTCTAGCCACTTATTCTGCTCTGTATTTCTCTACAGCACTTCTCACTGCCTGATATTCTATTACAGATTCATTTGTTTATGTCTGCCTCTCCCACTAGGCCCATGCTCCACGAAGACAAAGGCTCTGTGATTTTGTTTAGTGCTCTATTCCCTTGTGCCTAGAACCCTGCCTGGTGCATAGGAGAGACTCATGAATGTCAATTAATTGATTGAATGACTGTGTGTTTTCAGTTCTGCAAATGTCCCCAAGGAAAGAATTACAAAGGACTTGGCCACCTTCTTGGAATGGGGAAGAGGAAGAAAAAGGAGAGAGAACAAATGAATTAGTATCTTAATAAATTATCCTGTTACAAACCTATATTATAGAATTTGGTGTGTGTGTATATATATATATATATATATATATATATACACAGAGATAGTGTCTTACACTTCTATAAGACTTGTTTTGTAAAAGTGAATTTGGTCCACAGTGATTGATATTTTAGGGAACAATTTAAGTAAAAATGCAAATTTCACATTTGCTTGTGTACCACTTCTTCTACAAGAAACACTAGGTGAGTGCAGAAAAATGCCCCCACGTGAACCAAGCCATATAGAAATACACAAAACACACACAAACACTACACATAACACATGTGGAGAACTGAGCTACTTCAGAAGAACCACGCCATCTGCAATGGGTATTAAAACTTCCCATAAAATGTCAGATAACCCTCCTTCTGCCACTTCACAATAACTCACAAGCCCCAACTCTTCTGACATCCACTTCTACAAGCAAACTTCAGGTCTTTTTCAAATCAAAGTGTCATATTTACTATAGTATTTATGCTTCTCTTAACGATTTAACATCTGTAAAGCTGTGCTACCATTTTTATTAGTTTTTTATCTTGTTTTAATGCGTCACTGGTAAGGTTTTCACTGTTGTGCCCCCAACTCCATTTTTTCCCATAAGCCCTGAGGGATTTTGCAAGGCTCCAGGATTTTTCGGAGCATACCTGTCACCTTAGAACTGACTGTACTTGGGTACATCCACCCTCTCCCCCGTCCCCCAACCAGAGGAAAAGCACTTAAAGGGCAGGAAGTATTTTTTATTCCTCTTTTGATCCCCAAAGCACATGTCACAGGTGTTCATGAGACGTGTGTTGCTCAGTTTATTCCACCCTAGCCTCCTTTCAGGATATCCCCCACTAGCATTCTATCAAACTGGGTTTGGAAGAGGGGTGGCCAGAAGGAACTCCAAAGACGCTGTTCAGGGACGGTTTTTGTTGGCAGCCTTGCCCTCCCAGATCTTCCAGGGGCATCACTGCAGGGAACCATTAACTTTCATCTGAGTAGATGGGAGCCAGCTCCCCCGCTACCCCCG